TTCAGAAGAGACGATATCACCTCCAGTGTTTGCTGCATAACCGTGGGTCTCATGTACTTCTTCAAGAAACTTTCCCAAAGCACCACACCAGATATAAGGGGCACAGAAGAGACTCTTATGTATACAACGTTGGAAGGGGGTAGTAGACTAAAATGTAGATTATTGAGATGCTTCACTAGAAGAGACAGATAAGTAATTTGGACTTTCTTTCTTTCTTCCTTTTTTTTTTGCCAGTCCTGGGGCTTGAACTCAAGACCTGGGCACTGTCCCTGAGTTTCTTTTACTCAAGAGCTACCCCTTGAGCCATAGCACCACTTCTGGCTTTTTCTTTGTATGTGGTACTGAGGAATTGAACCCAGAGCTTCATGCATGCTAGGCAAGCACTCTACTACTAAGCCACATTTCCAGCGCCATCATTCAGTCTTTCAACAAACACTGACAAGGTGTGTGGGTGAGCTGGAAAGAAAGGGGAAAGGGGCTTTCCAAGGCGGCGTGGATAACATAAAGGTGGGCACACTAATTGCAAATGCACTTTTTTTTTTTTTTGTCTGTCGTGGGGCTTGAACTCTGGGCCTGGGCGCTGTCCCTGAGCTCTTCAGCTCAAGGCGAGCGCTCTACCACTTGAGCCACAGTGCCACTTCCGGTTTTCTAGTGATTTATTGGAGATAAAGAGTCTCTCGGACTTTCCTGCCTGGGCTGGCTTTGAACCTCAATCCTCAGATCTCAGCCTCCTGAGTAGCTAGGATTACAGGCGTGAGCCACCAGTGCCCAGCTGCAAATGCACTTTTAATGCTATAGCTAAAATCACATTCTTCCCAGCTTTTGTTTGTTTGTGTTTTTTGATAACAGTCCAGCAACTTGAACTCAAGGCTTGAGTGCTGTCCTTGAGCTCTTATGCACAAGGTTAGCACTTTACAACTGAGAACCATAGCCACACTTCTGGCTGTGTAGTAGTTAATTACACTTAAGAGTCTCACAGACTTTCCTGCCTGGGCTAGCTTTGAATGGTAATCCTCAGAACTCAGCCTCCTAAGTAGCTAGGATTACAGGCCTGAGCCACCAGCACCCTGCTCTTCCCAGTTTTTCAACCCTTCCTCCCACCTTCCTATCTGGCCCCATCCCATGCATTCCTCACAGAGAGACAGATTCCAGCCCAACAGGGCTTGGAAACAAACAGCCCCTCTCAGCATCCCGTGGCTATACGTGTGGTGACAATTTTCTATACAACTCCTTTGCTAGCTAGTTGTTTTTCCTTTTGAAGACATATCTGAAAGGTGTGTTCATCTAACCTGAAGAGAACAGTGATAGATGAAGGCGTGGCCACTTCTGGAAGAGATTACCAAGCCACAGAAGATGTGACCAAAGGAAATGACAGCCCGGCACCTGACTACCCCCAGAATTCTTCACCTCCATGTAACATGAACACAGGAGCTTCTAGAAGCAACTTCATCAACCAAGGAAAACACAGCTGCTGCTTGGGGAAGCTTCTGCAGTGAAATCTCTTTCATAAAAACAAAATCGGCACTCTTGCTCTTGGAAACTTTGAGCAGAGAATATATATGCAGATGACACAGCACAGAGAAAAGAATGATTTGAAAATTAAAAGTGGAACACATTTCAAAAACATGGCTATCTAAATCAATTAGAACCTTAGGCAAAAGGGCTGAATGATTCACCTTCTAACAAGCAACATATAAAACACCAATACGTGACTCAGTATCATAAACCACATTAAATTCTGGATGCAGGTAACTGATTCTGCTGGAACTGGTTGCATTAAGTAGAGATTTATATTAATAGTTAACATTTGGGGCTGGGAATGTGGCTTAGTGGTAGAGTGCTTGTCTTGCACGCATGAAGCCCTGGGTTCGATTCCTTAGTACCACATACACAGAAAAAGCCAGGAGTGGTGCCATGGATCAAGTGGTAAGAGTGCCAGCCTTGAGCACAGAGAGGCTCAGGAACAAAGCCCAAGCCCTGAGTTCAAGCCCCAGGACTGGCTAACATTTCATTGCATCTCTCACTAAGCCAGTCCTCCCAGTGGTATTTTTATTCCTATTTGATGACGAGGAATTTAAGGCTCAGAGAAGTCAAGTAGCTTGTCCAATGTGACACAGTGGCTATGAGATACTTTCTCCCACTCCAAGGTACTGCTTTAAGCTCCTCACACACAGGACCTGAGTATCCTTAGGATGTCATGGAGCTGACAAAAGTCTCTCTGTCTGGCATCTGACTCTAGCCCAAGGAGAAAAGAAAGCTCATCGAGAAGACTGTGGTATGTACACTGAAATGTCGCTAAAAGCTCACCTACATGAGCTTGAGCCTAACCACCTAGAAGGCTGAGACCTGAGGACTGGGGTTCAAAGCCAGCCCTCACAGACAAATCGAAGAGACTCTTATCCCCAATTAAGTAGCAAAAAGCCAGAAGTGGAGGTATGGCTCAAAGTGGTAGATAGAGCATCGTCCTTGAGCAGAAAAAGCTAAACAAAGACATGAGGTCCTGAGTTCAAGCCCTAGTACCAGCACACACATATACATACACACACACACACACACACACACACACACACACACACACACACACACACACACACACACACACACACGGTAACCTACTATATCTAAGAAAGTCCAGGGGCTGGGAAGGTAGCTCAGTGGTAGAGCGCTTGCCTTGCATGCATGAGGCCCTGGGTTCGATTCCTCAGCACCACATAAGCAAAAAGAAAAAAAGCCAGAAGTAGCACTGTGGCTCAAATGGTAGAGCGCTAGCCTTGAGCTGAAGAGCTGAGGGACAGCGCCCAGGCCCAGAGTTCAGGCCCCATGACCAGACCCAAAAAAAATAAATAAATAAAGAATTCCAGTGCTCTGTTGATAAGACTCAACTCTCATAAGCAGAAAGACAGGTATTTCACATGCTTCAAAGAAATACAAAACCTCTGTCCTTATCTTCAAAGCTAAATTTCTGTTTAGCTTCTGAGAAATTAAGACAATGAAAGCGAAGCTTGAGACTGAAGAAATGGTCATTCTCAGTAGGTGGGAATTCATCATTCCCTGTGTCTCCACAGGATAATACAAAAAACTACAAGGCTGCAACTGAAATTGTGTAAATAAAGGAATAAGAGGGGTCTTACATCACATTATTCATGTAACCATATCAAATGTTTCAAAACATATACACTGAACATTATATGCACAGCTGGTTGATGAGCCCAAGTGAAGGAATGGGCTTCTGAAGAAAGTTCTAGAACCCTGAAGACTGCAAGAAGCCCAGAGGCCAAGGAGACAGCAGAATGCAGCCCTCCATGGACCAATACTACAGAACCAGAGGAGATTCACTTCTGCTGAACTTCTAAGGAAATACTGATTCTCTTCCTCTGCTATTTCTCTGGGAAAACTTCAGCGTGAGCTTGCTTTTTACCACACAGTGTTATAACGGAAACATCTCTACCAGAAAGCAAGTGGCTATCTTTTCTTCTCTAAAATGGGCCATGTCATTTCAGAGATAATGGAACAGAACTGAAATAGCTTGTAAATATTATATGGAGTCACTTCTTCCAAGACTAAGTAGAAAGCAAACTCTGTTCTTCAAGCAAACTCTGTTCTAGCCTGTGAGGAAGAGTGCTACTGGCAAGATCCTGTATTGAGCATGGCAGGGATGGGAAACCAAATTCAACAAGGAATTTCAAAGTACTGACATATGGACAGCCAGAAGTGTGTAAAAGCAGAGTCCAAACTAAACTTGCCTTAACCTGAAAAAAAATGCTGTATTTCCATGCTGCATTGTACTTACAAAGTGTTTTTTTTTTCCAATATTGGAATTAGCTGTGAAATAAAAAAAAATCAACAATCACAAAAATGTGGATTTTTGGCTTCTTAAAATTTTAGTCTGGCAACATTAGATGAATATCCACACCTGGTGAAGACTGTTGGGCCCTGAGTTGTAGGGAGACAGACTTCTTACAGAGGACCGACTGTTGCCACCTGTACAAATAATCTGGAGTCTGGAATTCCTGATTACAAGAAGGGAAACACAATAAAATGGGTGGCACCTGAATACTGAAACTGAAGGGAAGATGGCAAAGCTTGGAGCACCAGAAAGAGTTAACGATAAAGGTCCAGAAATAGTCAACAAGCTATGAATTGTGTGTGTGCGTGCACGCGTGTTGTGCACACAGCACAGACACAGGCCCTGGAGCTTGAACTCAGGGCCTGGGCACTGTCCCTGAGCTTTTTTGCTCAAGGCTAGTATTCTACTACTTTGAGCGGCAGCTCCACTTCCAGTTTTTGGTGGACAATTGGAGATCAGAGTCTCCTGGACTTTCATGCCTGGCCTAGCGTTAAACAGATCTCAGCCTCCTGGGTAGCTGGGATGATAGCCGGCAGCCACCAGTGAGAGCCAGGCGCAAAGATATGCTTCAAACATTGCAAGCCCAAGAATTCCCATTAGTCACACAGCTCTCAAGATACCATTTTCGTTCGTGGACCAAGGCCAGAAGAGGAGAAAAGGGGAAGGATTCAAAAAATAAACTTCCCAAATTAAAGTGATAAAGTGGCTAGGAGATAAAGCGTGTGGGAAATCCACCCAGATGGCATGAAGTTCTCCCAAAACGCCAAGGAGGGAGAGGAACAACTCTGTGTGTGATTCCTTTCCCTTCAAAAACAAACAAAACACTAAATTTACTTATGATCTGGAAAGAAGTGCACAGAGAGGCGTGGATTCAGCACGGGCATCTGTGCGCACAGTGCATGTGGCTGAGCTGGGGGGGTCCCCCGGGGTGGAGGATAATCCGATCCTCGACGCCCAGGATGGTTGTCCAGTTGCAACAGAACAAATGGTGGTGCACAGCAAACTTTCCGCAGGAAGGTCCCGCCGGGGGAGGGAGGAGGATCTGCAGAGGGCGGGATGTCAAGCAGACCCCTGTCGACCCCGGACACCCTCGCCAGCACCCCGAGGAGGGCAGGGCCGGGCAGGGCAGAGCAGGCCCTGGGGGTGAACTTACACAAGCCGTGGACGTCCAGCATGTTGGAGATGCCCCGGTCGCTCATGTCCACTTCCGGCTGGTTCTTCTCCCGGCTCTCCTCCACCAACTTTTTCAGAGACTTGGACATGTTTGTTCTGGAGCAAACGACAACAGAGCCCGTGGGCGATGAGGGGCGGGTGGGCGCCGGGACGCGGACCCGGGGTGCCCCGGGGGGTGTCACCTCCCACTCGGGTGCTGAGAGCCGGGACTGAGCGCGGGCTCTCCGGGCACAGCCCGGCAGGGGCCGGGGCGCAGGGCAAAGCCGGGTGCACCGCCACCCACACTTACCGCGGAGGCTGGGCGTGGGGAGTCCTCGGGGTTCACGCTCGGGTGACAAGCGAACGCACCCCGACAGGGATCCTAAACCAGGAACACGCCCTGTCCCAGCGCCCGCTCTGCGCAGGCGCACTCGCCTCCCAGCGCCACGCCACTCCCGCTCCCGACACTTCCCAAATTAGGAGAACCGTGTACTAGACCGGGCTCCCGCGCGCAGCCCCACCCATTGAAGAAAAATGTGGCTTTCTCCTCCCTCTCCTAAAGGCTGACCAATCGTATCCGTTTATTGACCTCACCACTCCGCCCCGTCCTCGGTTTTGAGGGACTGATTGGATGGAAGTTTACGCGTGCGTACTAGCTTTAGCGCATGCCCAGTGAGTTGGTGGAAGGGCATTGTTGTGTGGGCGGAAGCAGGGAATCTGGGGCACTAGTGCTGGGAAGGGTGTGGTAACTGGAGGGCTGGTAGTTGGGATGGAGGCCCTGAGAAATCTAGAAGTAAATCGCTACCAGTGTCCTACTTCTTTCTTTCCAGTCTCACCTGACAGAAGTTACAACTCGTCTCTGCAGACATTCCTATGTCAGCCCTGGCTGGAGCTTGCAGCCTGTATTATGAGCACCTGATGAGAGGAGCTGGTGCCTCTGGCTGGGTTTGGGGTTTGGAGTTTGGGGTTTGGGTTTGGTCCGGTTTGATTTTGTACCTGACCTTTTGGGTTTGAGCAACTGGTATTCCCCTCCCCCCCCCCCCCGGGCCTAAAAGATACAAGAAAGACCTGAGCATTCTTAGAAAGCATGGATCCCTTCCATCCATCCATGACATTTGGATGTGCATCTTAAGTAGGGAGCCATCAGCCCAGCCAGGATTCCTTCTTCTTCTTTTCTTGTTTCAGGTGAATTACTTGAAAATGTACTAAGCCCACTTCCATTTTTCTATATTTGAAAATGATCATTACAATCCTCAAACACCCTAAAAATCATTGCCACTATCACAGAAGGCTAGAGCCTCTTGTAGAGATTTCGCCTCGCTCTCTCTCACTCTCTCTCCCTCTCTCTCATTTGCCCCCTCTCTCCCTTTCTATGTCTCTCTCCCTCCCCCTTTCTCCATCTCCTTCTCCCTTTCTCTCTCCCCCTCTCTCCCTCTCTTCTCTCTCTCCCTCTCTCCATCTCTTTGCCTCTCTTCCTCTCCCTCTTTCCCTCTTCCTCATTCTCTCCCCCCCCCCATTATGTTTTCAACTTTATGTAATATTGGCACTGCTTGCTTCAATTCCATAGGTGCACTTGCTGGATAGCCTCAGAACCTCCCCCGTAGAGAACCACACCTCTCAGTGTCAGGGGCTCTTAAGATGCCGTTGTTCAGATGGCATGAAGTGAGCACAAGTCACCTCTGGTTTCAAGAGCTGCATCCTGTTATACTTGCTTTTAGACAAAATTCCCAAGTCGTTCATGTTGTCAAACTTTTTGCATATTCTGAACCTTGACAATTCATTTCTAAATGAAAAGGCAAAATCTTGCATGTACCCCTAATTACATGCTGTTCCCAGGTGTTTGATGGTGCTATTCATTACATCCCACTATGTTTTTCAGTTCAATGTCATCCATAAAGTTGACATATCTATTCATAGTATATAAATAATCAAAGTAGAAATGTTTTGTTTTGTTTTTTTGGGTCCGTTCATGGGGCCTGAACTCTGGGCCTGGGCGCTGTCCCTCAGCTCTTCAGATCAAGGCTAGCACTCTACCACTTGAGCCACAGCACCACTTCCGGCTTTTTTCTTTTTGCTTATGTGGTGCTGAGGAATCGAACCCAGGGCCTCATGCATGCAAGGCAAGTGCTCTACCACTGAGCCACCTTCCCAGCCCCAAAGCAGAAATGTTGAAGGTGAGAATATATCATGTTTTAAATTTGTTTTGTCAGTACAGGGGGGTTGAACTCAGTATCTTATGCTTGCTAGGCAGGTACAGAGCCCAGCTCTTTGTAACTGTACTTATCAGATAGGGTCTTACTTTTTGCCCAAGTTGGTCTAGAATTGCAATCCTCCTGATCTCTGCTTCCCAAGTAAAAGGGATGACAGATATGTACCATGATTCCCAGAGGAGATTATCCAGTATTCCACTAGAGCGTGACAAAACAATGTTATACAGACCTTTCATTTAGTGAGTCTCCTGTGCTTAGTAAGTCTTCACTTGGCATATCTAACATAAAGCATGAATCTCTCCTGTGGTATCTGTTTTCTCTGGAGCTTGCTTGAACTCAGGGTTTCCTGCTTGCTAGACAGGCATTCCAGCATGTAAGACAGGCTCTAAGGCCAAGACTTCTGTCCTACTAGAGACAGTGGAAAGTTTATGAAAGCCTTGGATTTTCTTGTGCAAAAGAATCTGAGCATTCCTTCACTTAGATGCATGTCTGGCAACTTCAGAGATAACATACTATTGAATGTCCCAATTCTTCCTAAATAGCATCTGATATTACTTAACTTGGTATGTTGTGTTGCAAAACTAAAAATAGACAGAGGTGATGCTCTATGGAAACTCTGTCCCCTTGGGGACAAATGCACACATTGGGGTTTGTCTCACTTATGCAAGCAACTTCAACACCCTGTGACTGAGAAACAGTACCCCTGTATTAAAGGCCAAGTGGGTATGTGCAGTCATTTCCTCTGAGCTACTTTCTTTTTTTATACTTGAAAGTGAATGTGATTTTCTTAGGTAAAGGTGCTGTCACTATTTAACCTGAATAGAAATACCCAGAAGTGCGTGTTAAGACTGCGACGTATTTCTGAAGACATCGCTTCTCTGAGAATTTGATTCTCCAAATACATGCACATGAGAGCATGTCCCCTCCATATTTATATCTTGAACATCAGTTGGAAGTTATTTTTAGAGGTTTTATCAAAGAACACACTTGGGGATTTTCCTCAAGATGAATTAACTGAAATGAAAAAAAAAAAAAAAAAACTGGTTTCCACCTAGAGTTTGTTTTTTGTTTTTGATTTTGTGTTTGATTTTTTGTTTTGGAGGTAGCATTTTGACTGGTAGTAGAATTGTCAATGTTCTGGTCTTGTTACTGGCTTATTTAGTGATGTAAGTCAACAGGTAAAAGGATCTCTCCTTTTATTGGAAATTCACCTATTGGAAATCATTCCCAAATTATTCTGGAAATTTGGAGGACATTAAGTAACCAGTCCATGAGATCGCTCTGTAGTATCTTTTCAGTGTTTTGCAGATCTATGTTATTCCAATACAAAAAGGGTTTTAAGGTGATGTAAAAATGCTACTCACTGAATGCTCATCTGCAGAGGATTCAAAGCAAAGCAAGCAATAGAAAGTGGAAGCTGTGGCCCACTGAGTGGAGGAATGGAGAGACTACGTGGTTTAAAGACTGGTGCAGAATCCTAGAAACTGGTTGGGCTCTAAATGAGGTATGTGGAAACTAGCATGCACGCAGTAGCATTTTGGTGATATGGGTCATTCCATGCAATGGCCAGGAGAAGACAGGAAAGTGTAGAGGTAAGCCCCAATGCATTGTGGGGAGTAGGGCTTATGTTTGGTTGGGGGGAAGGAATATGAGGGGTGGGTCGTGTGGGCTCGGTGTGGGGAGAACATACTAAATTTACTTTAAGAACAGATGGGTCTCTGTCCACTTCAGCAATTCTAGAAGCCATTGCGTAGAACTGCTGTCATCCTTGCCTCCATGATGCTCTTCATCCTGGGTGTCTATTGATAGCCACAGAAAGCACAACATAATCTCATCTTCCTAGCTACCTATCGCTTGCCACCTATCACGGTTCATGGGCTGATTCACACAAAATGGACGTGACAGCAAGACTGCAGCGATGTTTGTCAGACATTTTATTTATCCATCCCTTTACAGCTTAACCCTCAAAAGGAACTTGAGAACTGCCCTTGAAGAACAGAATGTAATAAGCAGAGACTGGGCTGGGAATGTGGCTTAGTGATAGAGTGCTTGCCTAGCATGCATGAGGCCCTGGGTTCGATTCCTCAGTATCACATACACAGGAAAAAAATAATAATTGAAAAAGTAAGCAGAGACTAAACGTACACAACTAATACAATAGAGATTTTAAAAAAGGTAAGCTTGGGAGTGTAGCATGAGCAAGGCCCTGTGACTACTCAATCACACACACACACATACATACACACACACACATATACACAACCTAATGTGACAAATTGGCTATCAGATGATAAAACTTCCTATGAAAGCCAAAAATAGGAGAAGAATTTCCTGCTTATGATAGATTTGAGCTGAAATGTCAACAGTAGACATGCAAGAAAAAAGAGAAAGAAAAAGGTCTTTAGTGTGGAGAATGTGGAAGGAAAAGCCCCACACAAAGAGAAAAGGGAATGTTCTAGGGTTATAGGAGTTCATGATACAGAGTACCAAGAGTGGGGAAATGGACACAACGGACTCCAGTGAGAAGGCTCCTCGTGGCCAAGAAGAAGTCCATGGGAAAGACAGCGAGTGACTGCCACATACATACAACATTAACAATCCAATGATGTTTATTTCCCCAATTTGGCATCCCTGGTGAAAATAAGACATCTATTGTATCATTAACTGTTTTTTTTTTTAATGACAACCGTTTAAGAATTTTTTTAAAAAAAATTGCAGTTGAAAACTTAGAAAGTAAGGAGACCATGCACAGCCAGGCTCAAAGGAGTCAGACCCAGCATTGCAGGCAAGCCTCGTGTGCCAGCTGATGGTGTGAGCGCTGATTCCGTGAGCGGTGACCGGCAGCAGCCTTGCTCCAGGTCTTGGGCAGGGCTCCACGGCCAGGGTGGCGGAGTTCTGTCCAGTGTGGTGCCCGATGGCTCTGAGGGTCAGTCCAAGCAAGGAGCAAACCTATGTCTTTCCCCCTCAGCTTTGCCACCTGAGCCGGAATGAGGATGGACGTGTGGCGTACTCAGCATGGAACTTTATGAAGACTCGATTTGAGGAAGCCACGAACGGAGCTATGCTCGTGTCCTAAAATAGAGGGGGGGGGGGGGAGGTGTAAGTCACGCTGTCCTAAATTTTAAACATTTTTACTAAACAGGGTAGTATAGTTAACAATATATACTGCATAAGGAATCTCTGTAGAATGTACAGTGAAGCTGAACATATTTCTAGAAGTAACCTTGCCAGGAATTAATGTAGAATAAAGGCTGTGGGAAATGATGGGGGGGGGGGGGGGCAGCGTGGAAGGTTGAAGGCCATCTGGTCTCTTTTTGGAATAATGAAAATATCCTGTTCATTTTTTTTCTTTTTTGGCAGGGTGGGGGGGGGGTCAATTGTGGGGTTGAACTCAGAGCTCAAAGCTAGTGCTCTACCATATTGGCCCACAGCTCCACTTCCGGTTTTCTGGTGGTTAACTGGAGATAAGAGTCTCATGGACTTTCCTCCCCAGGCTGGCTTTGAACTGAGATCCTGCATGAGTAGCTAGGATTACAGACTTGAACTACCAGTGCCAACCTTTAAAAAAAAAAATTTATTCTGATCTACATTCTGATAGTGCTGAAAAAGGAATCACTTTCCATCTGTATCATCCTTGACCGTGTTGGTCAGAAGGCCTGAGTGACCTCTGGCCAGCCACATTCAGCCAACAGCTCCCCCAGGAAAGTGATGGTTTTACAAAATGAGAGGGTAGAAAGGGCATGCACCCACAATCCTGCATGAGTGTCAGGGTCTTACTTGATGTTTAAGGACCTATCAGAACTTTGCAAAAACAATCAAACTGCTAGCCACTGTTTCTTCAACGAACTTTCAGAAACAGTAGATGAAAGGCATCCAGGTGTCCAAATTTTCTACGGTTCTGTTCTGTGTATCTACAAGTGAGTATAAGTATTCAACTATGGGTGATGAGGTGAGATCACACAAAGAGGTTTTTTTTTTTTTTTTTAATCTATATCTTACCGCCCTTAGACATTCTGACCAGAAGGTTTAGGTTTTCATGAGAACGGGAAGCTCCTAATGCTAAGTAACTCCGTAGGTGATGGATCCCTAAGGCAGCCTACAATTGGATTAGTCGTAATTTAACACACTTACACTAGGTGGCGCACGTGCTCCCAGCAGAGAAAGTGAGAAACTAGATTTGCTTAAGGCTTTGTAGTTTTGGCGGGGGGAGAGGAGGTTTAGTCGTGGGGCCTGAACTCTGGGCCTGGGTGCTGTCCCTCAGATCTTCAGCTCAAGGCTAGTACTCTACCACTTGAGCCACAGCGCCACTTCCGGCTTTTTTCTGCTTATGTGGTGCTGAGGAATCGAACCCAGGGCCTCATGCATGCGAGGCAAGCGCTCTACCACTGAGCCACCTTCCCAGCCCCCAAAGGGTTTGTAATTTTTGTACATTGCAAGTATCTGCCTTTAGAATTCCATAGGACGTGAGTATCATTGTTTAAAACCAACAAGTGTGTATTGAAAAAGGCTGTACTCACGGCTCCACAGTATGGCCCAAAGGGTGGCGAGTTTACATCAGGTCCATTGTAGAGGATGAGATAGTTCTGGATACAGTTTCCTGGGTCGTCGATGATGACGGGGTCAAAGCTGATGGTGAGGGGCCTTCCAGAAGGAGCAAAGACAGTCCATTCGCAGTGAGTGTTGTTGGGATATGTGCTAGGAAAGCCAGGGCTGGTGAGCAAACCAGCATCTCCATAAAGAGTCCCCCCACAGCCTGCAAGGAAATGATGGATGGTCACCAGCTTGATCGGAGAACACTGAATGCATACAACTGGATGGACACACTACCTTTTGCCATGAGACTGCTTTTCCTGTCCCTAGTGGCTGAGACTCTGCAAGAAACACAGAGGCAGCCTCCTGCTCTCCTTCCTTCTCTGGACTGCGCTCTTGTTCATGGCCCCTACCCACTCTGTCCCTGCCTATCATGGCTGTCCCCACAGCTGTCTTTTGCAAACTGTAGACACAGAAAGGAAACACAGGTGGGAGATGAGCTATCTACCGGACAGACTAGATTCTCTTCTACCAATTTTATTTTACAGTTTTTTTCAGATGTCTGGGGACATTTTCATAAATGTGCTCTTCCTCTCTTGGGTTAAAGCTATTGCCATGACTAAAATGCCCTTTAGTTATTGAAGAAATAGTCAACCAAAATAGGTCTTTACTTCCCTAGACTGCCAATTCTCAGGGCTGCCCAGAAAGCACAGGGAGATACTCAGTAGTTGTCAGAGAACTACTCTGGCTGACTAGATCAAAAGCCTGACAAAATAGAATTTATATAAGAATTCTAAATTCTTTAGACCTTAGATATATATATATATATAAATATATATATACATATACATACAAAAATATGTATATACACACACACATATGTATACTGTGCTCAAGGCGAGCACTCTACCACTTGAGCCCCAGTATCAGTCCCAGCTTTTTTGGTGGTTAAGTGGAGAGAAAAGTCACAAACTTTCCTTCCTAGACTGGCTTTGAACAGTAATCCTCAAATCTCAACCTCCTGAGTTGCCAGGATTACAGGCCTGAGTCACGGGCACCTGGAGAGAAACCTTTCATCTTTCCTACCACCATCACATCCAATAACTGAGTGTGAGTGTCTCACCGGAGGGTGATGAGGTCCAGAGGATTTCATAGCCATGGTTAGAAATGTCGCTGTTGCTCTTAAATCGCAGATACAGTTTATTCCGATGAGAGAAGACAGGGTTCGGCACTAGGGTTCCACAATACTTGCCGATTAATGGCGAGCTGTTGTCACCTCCGTTTCTTATCTGCAAACAATGAGTTCCTTAATTATTGTGCTCGTATTAAATATATAACTTCTTCCACTTAGCATAGCTGCACATTAAGGGAACTTGGGTGGCTTTTGCTTACGCTTTGTGTTTTTATGTAGTTAATAATGAAAGATTTTCTAAAACTATATGCTGAAGTCACCAGCTCTTGGAAAGGGAGAAATGGTCACAATGTAGATCAACAACCATTTGCATCCAACAATATTGAATAACTTATAACAATCAAAGCACCAAGGACATGTTTGTGTGTTGTTTTGTGGCCTGTTCTGGGGCTTGAACTCAGGGTCTGGGTGCTATCCCTGAGCCTCTTTGTGCTCAAGGCTCTACCCCTTTAACACAGCGCTACTTCTAGGCTTTTCTGAGTAGTTCATTGGAGATAAGAGTCTCCTCGACCTTCCTGCCCGGGCTGGCTTTAAAACCATGATCCTCAGATCTCAGCCTCCTGAATAGCTAGGATTACAGGCATGAGCCACCAGCACACAGCTCAAGGACATGTCTTAATATAGTAATGTGCTAAGATCCTACCATCTTTGCTTTGGAGGAAACTTTTAAAAAGACTAAAAAGTAAGTTCTAGAAATGTAGAGGAGGCAATATTGATCAGTACACTTTGTAGTATGTGTGTGTATGTTTTGCTTAAATGAAAAATATAAAGTGGCAATACACAATGCATTACACAAAGTTCAAGACAAGGGGGTGTTCTGTGTGGAAGAAGGAAACACTGCGATAAATTGGTACAATTTCTGACTATTGTTTTCCCATTCCATCTCCCAGCCTTACAACAGGAAAAAGTTGGCTAGAGGGTAGATAAGCACCCTAGTCAGTTCCAGTTCGGTCCCCCAGCCTGGGTCCTTCTTACTGTGCTTCTCTGTACCCCCGAGAGCGGCCTGATGACTGCAGGCAGTGCACAAATGGAACACATTACTACCGATCTGTGCTGCTTCCCTTTGTTTACGAACTCTGAGCAATTCCCCCCATGCCTTTGTGAAGCCTCGCTTTAAAAGTTTAAGCCACAGAGGTGCTCTGGGAACAGTGTTCCTCTTGCAGGGCTGGACTAGGCTGGAGAGATTCCTGCAGGACCTACAGGGCAGCCAGAGGGAGAGAGCTAGATCATTCGGGTGCTTGTTGTTGGGTTATTTTGCTAAATGTTTAAATAAAGTGGCCATGGCCCCAATGGAGAGCCAGGGAAGGATGCTGGAAAGCCCAGCCTGCCCCTGCTGTAATCTTGACTTGGGGTCTACTTCCCTGAGGGACAGAAGGAACTTCCACTGAAGGTGGGTACAGCTTTCTGTACCCACTCATCTCCTCAAAGGAGGAACAGAACAACTGAGGGAGGGGGGAGGGGGAGGAGGGGGGAGGGAGAGGGAGAAGCATCTCCGGGTGGTCGAGAAGGGCAGAGCAGGGACCAAGTCAGCTGAGAATGGATAGGAGGAAAGAGCGAGAATACAGTTGCTGGTGTTAAGAAGCAGAGGAGGCCTTTGGTAGAGGGAAAATGCTTGCAGCTCCCAAGAAAAAGTAGCTTAAAAAAAAAAAAAAACAAAAGCAAATAACCAACCATTAACAAAACCTAGCAGAAGAGAAAACTGCCAGAGATGAAAAAAAGGAAATTTTAGGTCATCCATCATTGATTTAAGTCACACACCATTTAAATGATCTGCAGATTCACATTACCTCCAAGAAATCGTGTGAGCATTCATTTGTGTCTTCCAGGGCAAAGGACTGGAAGAACAGGGAGATGTTGTGGTCCTGTGGTGCGTTGAGAATGACCGTGCAATCCATGTCACCATTGTAATTATTTGGCCATCCCGGGCTCTTCAGTGTGCCAAAGGCCTGGTTATATTCTCTGTTGCAATCTTAGAGGGGGGGAAATCAAGTTAATGGTGTATCCAATGATTTAACGTTGCTCCAACGTGCCAAGAAGCATCCTGAAAGTCTATTAAATTTGGCCAAGCTTTAGGAAAAGCAAACCCAGCCTCTCTGTCTACCTTTGAGCTGAAGGAGACATGAGAGAGGGATGCACCCAGCGCAAACACAGTCCAGTGCCTATTAGCACTAAAACACCCCTGGGGAACATAAAACAGCACTTCTTCCCAAGAAGAATATTCCAGAAACCTTTGGATTTTTCTGACCATCTTTAGGCATCAGTGGCTCACGTTTAAACCTTTGTTTTTTTGGACACTAAGACCCTGCCTTCCAAGTAACAGTTCTGCATAATTTTTCTTAAAATCATTTAGCAAATCATTTCTTTGATTGAACTGGCTAATTATTGTTCCTTTACATTAAAAAAAAAAGTCAAAGTAAGTTTGTTTGAATCAAAGGCAGTTTTAGGTGTAATCAAGTACAATATCAACATTACTCAAAGTATTTTCTGGAAGCAAGCTTTCAGGTACAAAAACCAAATAACCCTTTCAAAGCACCGTGGTTTTCATTTTTTTAATAATTATTTTTAAATGTACAAAGGAGTTGCCATTTAACAAAGCGATTTATGAATACAATATATCTTGATCAATATCACCCCTTTCAATATTCTGATCCATCCCTCCCCTACCATTCCCTCACACTTCTTAATATTGTAGTATGTATATTGGATTCTTTTTTATTTGTTTGTTTATTTTTTGGTCTATCATGCGGTTTGAACTCTGGGCCTGGGTGCTGTCCCTCAGCAATTCAGCTCAAGGCAAGCACTCGACCACTTGAACCACAGCACCATTTCCAGCTTTTTTTGTTTATTGGTGCTGAGGAATCGAACCCAGGGCTTCATGCAGGTGAGGCAAGCACTCTTCCACTAAGCCCAGCCCCATACATTGGATTCTTGACTGCATTTCCCCCCTTCCCCTCCTCATTTTACAAAACAATTTCCTAAGCCATAGTAATTCTTAGCTTTGTCAATATTCTACAAATCACAGAGCCACCAGCTCTGTGGGCAAAATAGGTAAAATTGTATAATATGAACCTCACACTCCCATAAAGCTGTTATAAAAATACAAGTGATGACCCTCTGTGCATGGTCAAAAGGATCATTAATTAAATAATTGGTATATTTTAAACATGAGTACATTTATATTCAGTTTTCTTCAGGAAATCAACTTTAGTCATTTGCTAAATTGGGCCTTTCTTCTTAAGAACGTTGACCTCTATGGGTATAGTAGCCATTTTCGAGGGTGAGGGGAGCAGGAGGTACTTTTGAACTCAGAGTCTCACCTTTTTATTAGGTAAATGTTCTACAACTTAAGTCATGTTCCCCCTCCGGCCCCCCGTATATGTCTCTCCTTTGTTTCATTTTGTTTTTTTTTAATAAGGGAAACATCTTTTTGTCTTTATTCTTCTACCTCACTTCAATACATAAAAGAGGATTTCTTGTTTGTATATCTAGTTTGACACTTATTGGACTTATTAACTATGGAGATTGGCATCTTCCATAAATTAGAGCATATTCTCAATAACATTTTTGGCTTTTCTGTTTCCTGGATCTTACATTAGAATATTAGAACTATGACACCATCTCCATATACATTAACTTTTTTTTCAAAGTATTTTTTTTATTTCTGTGTCTCTCTGTGGGAGAACTTATAATAACATTTTCTTTTCTTTTTTTTGAATCTCATTTCTTTCTTTTTATTATATTGCTGTTTGAAGAGGTTTCAATTTCATAAGTCAGATTATGAATACAATACATCTTGATCGATATTACTCCTTCCTTCCTTCCTTCCTTTCTTCCTTCCTTCCTTCCTTCCTTTCTTCCTTCTTTCCTTCCTTCCTTCCTTTCCTCCCTCCCTCTCTCTCTCTTTCTCTCTTTTTTCTTGCTTTAGTTATATTTCAGATGAGGTCTCATATCTTTCCCTAGACTACAGTTCTCTTCCCTCAGCTTCCCAAGTATCTGGGATTACAAGTGTACACCACTATACTGAGTTTGGGCTCTTAACAAGCCTGTTCAAGAGTCGCTGTAACCATAACTGTAATCACCGCCTAATTTTTTTTCCAGAATAAGGATGACATTCTCGTGCTCACCTGCCAGCTGGTAGGTGAAGCTCACTTCCGAGTCTCTGTTCAGTACCTCAGATTTGAAAAGGACGATTGCAGTGTGGGTGGAAGAATAAAAGGCTGGCACAGCGGAGACATTTGTGCTGCAGAACTGCATTCTGGAGTTCCCATTATTCTGAAAAGAAATGGAAGCCAAATTGCATGAGACTTCATTTCTGAAGAGAACATGCATATTGCAAAATAAACCACATAATAATTATGGATTAAATGCCTGTCCTTGGAAACTAGCTGTGGTGTTAGGATAGAGCTCAGGAACAAGACCCACAGCTGTCCTTGGAATTGAGAAGGGGTCCAGCTTCCCAGAGAGCAGGAGGTGCAGGGCAAAGCTTCTGTCAAAACCATAAACAGCCAGGTCCAGAAGTCTCATCATGACATAGCTGCGGCCTGGGGCCTGGTTTGGAGTACAGCCATGCTACTGGCCCTCACTTGAATGTTTCCAGCCACAGCTTTGTTCACAATGGGAGTGGAGCTGTAGCTCAAGTGGTTGAGCATTTAGCCTTCTGTTTAAAAAGCTCGGGGGTGCTGGGCGTTGGTGGCTCATGCCTGTAATCCTAGCTATTCAGGAGGCTGAGATCTGAGGATTGTGATTCAAAGCCAGCCCGGGCAGGAAAGTCCGTGAGACTCTTATCTCCAATAAACCACTCAGAAAACTGGAAGTGGTGCTGTGGCTCAAGTGGTAGAGCATTAGCCTTGAGCTGAAGAGCTGAGGGACAGCGCCCAGGCTCAGAGTCCAAGCCCTACAACCACCACCACCAACAACAAAAAAGCTCAGGGATAGAGCTCAGGGCCTGAGTTCAAGCCCTAGGAACAGAACAAAAAAGAATTATTTCAGGGGTTGAAGGCATGGCTCAGGTGGTAGCGCACTAGCCATTGAGTGAAAGCGTTAGCTATTGAGTTGGACTAACCCTCGGCCAATCACCTCATCTAGTCCTAGCTCCTGAGAGCATGCGCACTCCTGTGAATCCCCGAGTCGGCCTGTGCCTTGCATGCAGTCCCAACCCTTCTGAAACACTGGGGCAACACCTATCACTTCTTGTTTTTGTTTTATTGGTGATGGTGGTCATAAGGCTTGACCTCTGGGTCTGGTTCCTGTCCCTGAGTCTTCAGCTCAAGGAGAGTGCTCTACCACTTGACCCACAGTGCCACTTCTGGTTTTCAGGTGGTTAATTGGAAATAAGTGTCTTACAGACTTTCCTCCCCAAGCTGGCTTTGAACCTTGATCCTCAGATCTCAGCCTCCTGAGTAGCTAGGATTACGGACCTGAGCCACCAGCACCCGGCCCTCATCACTTCTTGAAAGCCTTGGGTAAATGCCACCAAATACTTATCAATTCCTTCACAGAACCAAATGGTACTAGCCAGGACATCAACAGTCCCTCAACCACACATGTGTCTCTAACACCTTCTGAGCACCCCTACCCCCCCCATCAACTGAAAACAGCTGTTATGGACTTGTGCATCTACACATGCTCCATCCTGACTCCACCATCTGTATCTTCTGAAAACCAACGACATTGATAACCACATCCAAGCCTCTCCACTTGTGCTGGGGCTCTGGCTGGAGGAGGCCATTCTGGTACCAGTCCTTACAGTGGAGAGTGCCGGGTGGTGGAGGGGATAAGAGTTTCGCCCTGTCCCACATTTTAGCATCTATCCACCAATGTGTCCACAGAGACTCTCAGACCCTTCTCATTAGTCTTCCTCCTTTCCTCCCAGTTATATTCCCTTCACTGACTAAATACTTGTGGTTGCTTAGCTATTAGTTGTTTTCTGTACCCCAGTTCCTTTCTGACCCCTTAGAGAGTTGAGTATTTTGGAAGACAGCTCATTAAACATCCTCACTTCAAACTTCTTAACCCCTGCGATGAATGTCTCTTTCTGCCATGATTGTCCACACCAAGGTCAATATCCACCTCCATCCCATAATCCCTTCACGACCTTCCAACAATGGCTTCATTTCCACGTTCCCCCAGCCTCTCCTGTTTGTTGTTATCTTTCCTTCCAAACTATCCAGACTGGAGACTTGTTTTCTTTCCTTTTCTTTAATCATCTAGGGACATTTTATTCTGTTGGGACAAATATCGAGTTGTATTTGAGGCTGTGTCCCAGAGTTGCCTTGTGGTCCACAGCCTTTTGTGGTCAGATGAGGAACCTGCTCTGATCACATTCTTTCAGCTTCATAAAGCCAGAGGGAAATGAAAAGAACTTTGCCTTATCCAATTGGCTATGGTTCTTCTGATGAGGTTATCACTAGGGAATAGGAATTTTGTTATTGTTGTTGCCAGTCAGAGAGTTTGAACTTGGGGCCTGGGTGCTGTCCCTGAGCTTTTGTGCTCAGTGAGAGTATTCTACCACTTTGAACCACAGCTCCACCTCCAGTTTTCTGGGGGTTAACTGATGATAACTTTGCTGTTCCAGCTAGCTTCTGAAGCAATCCTCAGATCTCAGCCTGCTGATTAGCTAGAATCCTAGCTAGGTGTGAGTCACCAGGGCTTGGCTGGAAATAGGAATTTCATCCTGAAAACCTCTGTCTATGTAGTGGTGACAACCTACTGTCTTGGCTACCATAGGGAACCTAAGACATATGCCAGTGTTTAAGATTTTCCCCCAAATTCAGCATAGCTGGTGTCTACCATGCACTCTGAACATCTGAGAACTATCCAAACCAAATTTTTATCTCCCCCAACAGAACAGGGAGAAATGGGAACTCCCAGATTTACCATGAGGAGAACCTTAAACATGGAGGAGGAGACAGAGAGAACTCTGCTACCGCCAACTCATGGGAGTCTGTACATGGCATTCTTGGAATAAGGAATGCCCACTGTATACATTTCCTGGGTAATGTCATCACCTCATTAGTCCAGCCCCTACCCACGGGATGAGGATGCTCAGACCTTTGAATCTTGGCGCACTTACACCCAAGCTGTCTCCTAGTGACCCCACCATGGGCAATTAAGACTCATATCTCTCCCTCTCCCTAACCCCCCCCCCATCAATTTCTTTTTCTCTTATAGCACATTAACTGCATTCTGACTGAGCAGGTGTCTAATGGTCCCCTAGCCGATTTTCTGGATTCCCACATAGATCCCTTCTATTCATCCTCTGCACAGATCAGCTGATCATGGGTGTGGCCTGTGTGTGGGACTCAGTCTCTCCTAGTGCACCCCAGGTATGATACCTAGACATCCTTAGAAATGGGACTTTTGAAGTCTCCTGTCCTACAAGTTCCAGACTCACAATTGACATGAGTTGGGGAGATCTGTATACTGCTGAAAAAGATGCGGGACGGAACTGAGATGGTATGTGGTCATGCCTTGGGTTCTTGTGGCATGTTTGCAATTGGGAGGGCCTGTCACTGTTACCTGCGGCGAGTCCTGGAGCTCTAAGTAGTTCTTCTCGCAGTCCGGGGAGAGCAGCTTCAAGGCATCCACGGTGATCTTCACCTGCTGCTGTGGTGGTGCCTGGATAACCCACGTGCACATGGAGAGTGGGAGGCTGGGGTTGGGTAAGTGTGGCGATGAAAGACTTTGTGGAATCCAAGTTGCATTATATGTTCCGCCACAAGGCACTGGGAAGGGAAGAAAGACGCACAGTAGGAGATGTTTATTTGTCATTTATAGACACGATCCTTAAAATTCTGCCTGCTTTTCTCCTGCTGCTCTACAGGAAGTATGCCTACATGATCCTACTCTGCTAAGCATTTGAGATATACTTACACCATTCTATTGAGGACTTGAGAAATACCTGACACTATTCTGTTAAAGATTTGGGTTATACATCTCTGACGAAAGACCATGCCAAAGTTTGACAACAGATTAAATGGGGTAACGGATGTTTAAGTAACCAACTAAGATTTTTTTTTTTTTTTTGGGGGGGGGGGTCTGGTCATGGGGCCTGAACTCTGAGCCTGGGCGCTGTCCCTCAGCTCTTCAGCTAAAGACTAGCGCTCTAATTATTTACCATAGCTAAGACATGGAACCAACCCAGATGCCCCTCAGTAGATGAATGGATCAAGAAGATGTGGTATATATACACAATGGAATTCTATGCCTCCATCAGAAAGAATGACATTTCCCCATTTGTTAGGAAATGGAAAGGCTTGGAAAAAATTATATTAAGTGAAGTAAGCCAGGCCCAAAGAAACATAGGTCCCATGGTTTCCCTTATTTGCAATATCTAGTATAGGTATGAGTCAAGCGGAAAAAGTCAAATAATGTGATGTTAGGAAAACGAAACCTCAAATATGTATTTTAATGTTTTTGTTTCTTTCATGCATGTGTTTCTAACGCATTTATAATATTATCTCTTTGTTGCTTTGTATGTCCCTCCCCCACAGTGTAACCCCCGCTTTCACTATATTTGATGTCAGTATAACTGTGGAGGAGATGGGGACAAACAAGTCGTTTAAGGATTCAGGTGGACCTGTTGCAACAATGAGAAGTACAAAATGTCATGTCAAAACCAGCTTTACAATGTCGGGGGGGGGGGGAGGGGGGGTATGATTGGGTGGGAGGGAGGGGGGAGGCTGGGAAGGGAGGTGAAGGGTAAACAAAGGAGGAGGCTGCAATGCTTGGTAAGAAATGTATGCATTATCCTGCCCATGTAATTGTAACCCCTCTGTACAGTATGTTCTCAAATAAAATTAAATTAAATTAAAAAAAAAAAAAAAAAAAAAGACTAGCGCTCTACCACTTGAGCCACAGCGCCACTTCCGGCTTTTTTCTTTTTGCTTATGCGGTGCTGAGGAATCGAACCCAGGGCCTCATGCATGCAAGGCAAGCGCTCTACCACTGAGCCACCTTCCCAGCCCCCAACTAAGATATTAACTGCCATTAAGTTCTGGAAATGATGTTGAATTTAAATATATAGTAAGTTTCCTTTTTTTTCTTTTTGGTCAGGCCTGGGGCTTGAACTCAGGGCCTGAGCTTCTTTTGTTCAAGGCTAGCACTCTACCACTTGAGCCACAGTGCCACTTCCAGCTTTTTCTGTGTATGTGGTATCGAGGAATCGAACCCAGGGCTTCATGCATGCTAGGCAAGCACTCTACCACCAAGCCACATTTCCAGCCACACTCTGGATTATGTTTATTCAGTGAATAACATAAATGTATTTGATAATATATTTGTAAAAGTCTCTCAATATACTCACTGTCCACAAAAGTGTATGTCACATTAAATCCATCTCTCTCCAAGGATAGGTCACTGACGAATTGAATTGTAAGGAATTTACCAGAAGAGATAAAAGGAGCAGGTACAGTAGAACCACAGAATGTCCCGGCCAAGTCTGCATGTTCATTCTCCCCATCAAATATCTGAAAAAATGAAGTTTGTGAGGTCTCATATGCACATTTTTACAGTACATTAGATAGGAAGTCACTGTAAGTTATGATTAGGGATCTTTGGGTTGATGTTCTTATACGTTTGGGATTTTTTTTGTTTCAATTGTTTGTCTTGCTTTGTAGCCTACACTGGTCTGGAATTCATGAACTTAATTCCACCTCTCCAAGGCTGGGATTTCAGGCATGTGCCACCATGCATGACCAAAAGGTGAATTAATTTTAAAAGATAATAGGATTCATATTATAGTGATTTAGGTACAACTTGCTATTATCCTGAATATATATTTTTTCCCTCCAGTGAAGTAATTAAAAAAACAATCTATTATTGGAGTCATCAGGTCCATTTCTAGCTTTGCTTCCACTGAATTTTTTATTTATCTTTTTTGGGGGGGTCTGGTCGTGGGGCCTGAACTCTGGGCCTGGGCACTGTCCCTCAGCTCTTCAGCTCAAGGCTAGTGCTCTACCACTTAAGCCACAGCGCCACTTTCCGGCTTTTTTCTTTTTGTTTATATGGTGCTGAGGAATCAAACCCAGGGCCTCATGCATGCAAGGCAAGCGCTCTACCACTGAGCCACCTTCCCAGCCCTCTACTGAATTCTTATTCAAGTCTCTCTTCCCCCACCCACCTCTCTCTCTGGCTTCCTGATTCTGCTCTTGTCCCTCTTTAGTCTGTTATTAAAACATCAGCCAGATGCTACAGAGAGCATGAAGTCTGCCCAGGAGCTGCCTAACTGCTTTCAATCCTGTCTGTGCAGACCCTAACAACAGCCTTCAAGGCTTAATCCAGTGCACTCTTCTCCAGAGCTCAGGCCTTTCTGCACTCAATTCTTATCTACTTGCTCACTCATTGGCCTGCACCCCCTCTTAGCCCCCCAGTCACTGCTTCCTACGGTCCTGCAGCCAGGAGGAACTCTAGCCAAGGAACTCTGCCCTTGCAGATGATCCAATTGCTTGTCACAAGACCTCAGCTCACAGAGGCCAACTGTAGCCAGGGATGTCTTCCCTCAATATCAACTCCTTTCACTGGAGTAGAATCAAACATATCTTATTGATTGTCTATTTGCTTTTCTCATCTCCCCCCTCCACGATAATGTGAAGTCCCACAGGTGGGCAGACTTTCAATAATTTGCCTTGGTGTCCTCAACACCCAGAAACGAGCGATTGGACTACCTTTACACACTTCAGTAGAAAACAGCATTGCTTTTCTCTCTAAGGAAGCTTCATTATCTTAAATGTCACTGAAATGGGGTCTGTGTATGTCCTGAATGCATATCAGGACTATACTGTGTCAGAGACTTGGGCACAGCCACAGTTCTGGTTGCTAAAAATGTTTAGTCACTTCCAAAATAAAAAAGTAAAACACATGGACCACTAGATGGCAGTGTATCCTTTAGTAAAGACACTTTCAGTTAATCCAGAGCCAAGTAGAGTGGAACAGAACTGGAGCCGGCAGGCCTTCTCTCCTCCTTGCCCTTCTCCTAAGCTCCTCTCTACCCCCTACTTTTTGCAGTGATGAGGATAAGACTCAGTGCGCACTGCACATACTAGGCAGGTATTCTAGCACTGAGCTACACAGCCAGACAGTGCTCCAAGCCTGTATCGAATGCATCTGTGAGCACATCCATGTTTGCTCTCCTGAAGTGTTCCTGGTAGATTTGCATGTGCCACCCTTTCATTTTCTGATCAGACTTCACATCCCCATGGAATGAGCTTCGATTCCCCTGATCTTAACCTCCCAAGTAGCAAGGATGACAGGTGTGAGCTCTTGGCACCCAATGAACATGTATTTTTGAAAAACTTATCCTTATTAAAGAATAACCTGATAACCAGAATACAACATCTGTATCCTGTTTGTTCCATCACTGACGGCTCAAAGCAGAAAGACTTCCCATAGGACATAAACTAGAAGGCTAGGGCCTGCAGACCCTGCCAACGTAATACAGTCTTACCTTTACATAATCATAAGCACATCTGCCCAAAGAGGATGAGTGCTCCAGAACAAAGGTATTGAAGGTGAGGTTGATCAGCTTGTTGTCAGGTGCAGTAATGAACCATATGCAGTTCAGACCCTTGTCGTATCTTCCGTTGGAATCTGAATCGGGAGACACCAAGCTTCCCTGGGAACCGCTCACATACCCACCACATCCGTGCTTAGGCCCTGTCAAAAAGGACACCACATCACCATGCAGATCAAACAGGAGGACCTTTAATTTTGCCTAGATTTGTAAAATAGGTTTGTAAAACAGCACGGTGTCTAGTTTTCCTTACAGGCTTCAGAACATGGAAGGCTGTTCACAGAGCTTGGGCAGGCTTGGACAGTGGTTTTTCCCACTTGTCTTGGCTGTTGCTTTTCTTCCTTTTCTCTTTACTACCATTTCTGAGCCTGAGTCACTCTTTATTACTGCACAATACTCTACAAGCTCAAGAAACCACACTGGAGTCTACATGCATCTTTGGAATGGCTCAGGAGATTTATTCAAGTTTTCTCCACATTGAAACAGCCAATTTTGTTCCATCTCAAGTATTCTGCATAATAATACTAGTAGGAAAATGCAGGCATGTTTTTTATCTTCTGCTTTTATGAATAATGTCAAGACTTAAAACAGAATTTATGAAGACTTATTACCCAGCAACCCAAGAAAACTGACTCCTTTATATACTTTTTTATTGAAATGGTGTGCTAGAGAGAGGCTGAGAGGTATTTAACATTACAGTCTATATTAGATTCAACCAAACTGTATATTCAACATTTTTTCTTTTCTAAGAGGAAGGGGGAGTTTGTTTAAAAAAAAAAAAGAAAAAGTTTATCTGTTTGGAACTAAGAACTTTGCAATATAGAATAAAGACATAGAAAGTGGAAAAAAAAAAGAGAATAAAGACATAGAGAATACTATAAAGGTAATTCGTCCACTGTGGGAAAAAACAAAGAGGAACAAAATCCTCTGGATTTAGATTTTGTCCACTCTTCTGCCAAAGCAGGCGGCTCATAAGTGTTGGAGGAAGAGCACAGAAAGAAGAAAACCTTCTTGACGATGTTTAAAGAAACCGTGAGGACAGATTAAGCTCAAAATAGTCCCGAATAGACATAGGGGTTCAACTGCTGCTCAAAGTCATGATCACAAAACTTGCTTACTAGTTGGATGCGATGGGTCAAGTCTGTAATCCTGGCTACTCAAGAGGCAGAGATCTGAGGTCTGTGATTCAAACCAGCCAAGATAGGAAAGTCTGTGAGACTCTTATTATCCAAAGAACCACCAAAAAGGCAGAAGTAGAGCTGTGATTCAAGAGGTAGAGAGCTGGCTTAAACAAAAAGCTCAGGGAGAGCGACCAGGCCCTGAGTTCAAGCCGCAGGACTGGCACATGTGAGTACACACACACACACACACACACACACACACACACACACACACACACACACACACACACACACACACACACACACACGGCAGAAAAAGCCTGCATTCTACACAAACAGAAGACATGAGCAGCTGCCAAGTTAAATTCCCTTGCCTTGGTCAGTGCTCTTGATCTCATTCCAATCCATCCTTTATCATGAAAAGATAGCTTTCCCCATTAGGGGGTGCTCAGATGTTATACTTGGGTCTCAGCAGGAAAGAAAGACAATGGCAGCCCCATCTCAACCCTGACCACAAATCAAATGCACAGCCGCTGAGCAGAGTAACTTTGAGGACAGGTGCTTTCTTCAGTCAGTCACAGCTGCCCGGCCTGTAGCTCCCGAGTGAGGTGAAACTATCTGCCCAGTCAGACATTTCCTAGAGTTGATATGCCTTCAAAGGCCTGATCCCAAACACAGCCACATTTAGTAAGTAGGATGGAATCATTCCCACCCTTAAGCACTACCACAGCTGTACACCAAGGTTGCTAAAGACTGTGCTCATGAAACATGACTGCAAGCCCTGAACACATTTGACTTCTAACCGCCTTTCATCTGGTGCAGACTGCTACGTAAAGAAACCACTCAAGCGTATTGGCATGCATAACAGGCAAGAGCAATTACTTAGAGCATTAATGAAATGATATGCTTATGTATTGTTAACTGTTGTTTTCATATTCAAGAGATAACATAGCTGGATGCCAGTGGCTCTTGCATAGCTACTCAGGAGGCTGAGATATGCAAGATTGCAGTTCAAGGTCAACCTAGACAGAAAGGTCTGAGAGATTCTATCTCCTATTAACTAGAATAAAGCACACTCGAGTAGTAGAGCACCGGTCATGATCATGAAAGCCAAATTAGTATGAGGCCTTAAATTTAAGCCCTGGAACAAGCACTACATAGATACCTATATATCTATCTGTCTGTCTATCTGTCTATCTATCCATCCATAAATATCAGACTTTAGACTTTTTTCCTTGGATAATGAGACACTTGTTAATCCATGGTGCTAGAGAAACTGCATATTCTCATGTAGAAGATTTAAACTAGATCCGTATCTCTTACTATGAATAAAAACCAATTAGAAGTGGGTCAAAGATCTAAATATAAGATCTGAAACACTGAAATAACTATAGGAAAACATTTGATAATTCAGGCCAAACAATTGTTTGTTAAACAGGATTAGAATTGCCCAAGAGATAAGAGCAATGGCTGAAAATTGTGTTTGTATTGAATTAAACTTTCTACACATCAAAGGAAACATTTCCTCCATCAAGGGACGAGCTCACAGGATGGGAGAAAATCTTTGCAAGCTAGTAATCAAAGGATTAGCATCGATAATACATGAAAAACTCAAAAAACTAAGTTTCAGAAGAACAAAGAACCCAAGTAATACAGGGCAAATGAATTACAGAGATCATGATCAAAAGAAGAGTACCAATGGATAACAAATACATGAAGAGGTGTTTGACATCCTAGCCATAAAGGAATTTCTTTTTAAAAGCTGAGATTCCATTGCATTACAGGCAGTATACGTCCATAAGTAAACAACTAACAACAAATACTGATTAGATATGTTAGGGGTAGAAAACTTTTTTTTTTAACTCTGAGCCTGGGCACTGTCCCTGAGCTCTTCAGCTCAAGGCAAGTAGTCTACCACTTGAGCCACAGGCCACTGCCGGTTTTCCGGTGGTTTACAGGAGTTAAGAGTTTACATGGACTCTCGTGCTTGGGCTGGTTTTGAACCTCGATCCTCAGATCTCAGCCTCCTGAGTAGCTAGGATTACAGGCTTGAGCCACTGGTGCCCTTCAAAGAAACTTTTATACATTGTTGAGAAAAAGAATGTACAATTTAGGGGCTGGGAAGGTGGCTCAGTGGTAGAGCGCTTGCCTTGCATGCATGAGGCCCTGGGTTCGATTCCTCAGCACCAATAAGAAAAAAGAAAAAACCCGGAAGTGGCGCTGTGGCCCAAGAGGTAGAGTACTAGCCTTGAGCTGAAGAGCTGAGGGACAGTGCCCAGGCCCAGAGTTCAGGCCCCACGACCGGACCAAAAAAAAACAAAAAGAATGTACAATTTACTACAGCTAAGATGGTAATCGGTATGGAGTTCAAGAACTAAAAACAGAATTATCATAAGATTCACCTAAATCATTCTTGAGCATGTTATCTGGAGGGTTACATAGGACCAGCCTAGGTACACAATAACAGAGATTTGGTAAAGAAAATGTGATATACATATATATATATATATATATATATATATATATATATACATATATATATATATAAAATGAAATATTACCATGTCATAAATAAGATTGAAAATATGGATAGAAAAGGGTGGAACTAGAGATCAACACTTTTAACAAGGTAAACCAAACTCGCTCAGAAAGACAAATATTGCATATTTTTATGTGGACTCTAGACCTAAAGGATTAATATGACATGATTGTAAAAAGGAAGACTAGTAGATGGAAGAAGGGGGAAAGAGTAGGTGAAAGGAAGTGAATTATATATATATCAGAATAAAACACATCAAAAACTGTTTAAGAGCAAAAGGAGTGTGGTTAAGAAAGAGTAACATTTATGGGATGAATTTGATCAAAGTATATTATGTGCAAATTGTAAGTATCACTTACATCTTTGTACAAATAATGTGTTAATAAAAATATTTTTCAAAAAAAAAAGCAAATATTGTGGGGCTGGGGCTGAAAAGCTCAGTGTAGGCTGGCAGGGGCAAGGTTCTGGGTGCTGTCCCCACCACTGCAAGAAAACAATACAACTAGAACAATGAGAGAATATTACCACAGTGCAAACTGGAGTGAGGAACAGCAATAAAATCAGAGACTTCTACACATTATAGTAATAGTACATTTGCTCAAAAACCCAATGTTATTTTTTTTTTTTAAATCAAGGTATCTAGGGGCTGGGAAGGTGGCTCAGAGGTTTGCCTCGCATGCGTGAGGCCCTGGGTTCGATTCTTCAGCACCAATAAGAAAAAAGAAAAAAGCCGGAAGTGGCGCTGTGGCTTAAGTGGTAGAACGCTAGCCTTAAGCTGAAGAGCTGAGGGACAGCGCCCAGGCCCAGAGTTCAGGCCCCATGACCAGACACCCTCCCCCCCACCAAAAAAAAAATCAAGGTATCTAGGCAGTTACCAGTGGTTCATGCCTGTTATCCTAGCTACTGAAGAGGCTGAGATCTGGAGAATCTCCAATGAATGCCAGCCAAGGAAGAAAAGTCCAACAGACTGCAGCTCCAAAATAATCAGCAAAACATGAGATCGAGGTTTAGCACAAATAGTTAAGCACCAGCTGAGCAAGTGCAAGGCCCTGAGTTCAAATCCTGGTACTGGCAGAATAAAATTCATGTGATTTTTATCAGTAACTTACTATTGTCAATAAGATAATAGAATGACAAATGATCAAAGTAAATGTTACTGTACATACTTATTATGTAGTAGGTACTTCTACTATTAATAAAAAGGTCATAAATAATGTCATAATAATGCCCCTTGCTCTAGAGAATCTTAGAACAAGATCCCTAAAGTGTTGGCACCAAGACTCTGTAGTGTGAGTTGTAGATACTCTGCTCCTAATTCTTCAGTTTTTCTGTCTCTCCTCCCTTTCCTTGAAGGCCAATAGAATGGACAGAGTACTTTTCATACCTACTCGATATTAAGCTTAGCCCTATGACTTGGTTTAGGTGATGAGAACTAGTAGTCAGGAGGTAAGTCAGGCTGAGTTATGTGAGACTGGCGGTGTTT